ATGTGTATATTGATACATAGTGTAACTTTCTTGTCTACATTCTAAGTGTGAAAAGTCTTTCCTGCAGTGTTTGTAGTATCCAGCTGTGTGGTAGCTTTAAAATGTGTCCACCGTTCCTTTGATATGCCTCCCTTTAAGAAGTAGAGAGTAAGTACATGAATGTGGATTGAACTTGGTGACTTGCTTCTAATGTGTAGCATGTAGTAGAAAAGGCCATGGGTCATTGTATTCTTTCTCTCTTGAACTGCTGACTTTAGGGGAATTATGTCATAAAAACACTGAATCAGCTTTCTGAAGAGCCTCACATGAGGTGTCAAAGGGTTCTTGCCAGTAACCTTGCAAATGAGCTCAGTGACAAATCCTCCAGCCTCATTGAAATGTTCTTCCCTAGTTCATAGCTCGCTTGCAGTCTCATGAGCAATCCTGAGTTGGAACCACATAGCTAAGATGCTCCTGAGTGTAACTCATAGAAACCTGGAGTCAGTGGGTGTTTGTTATTTTAAGCTATAGCAGTTCTTTGATTTTTGGATATACTGAAATTCTCTGTGACTTAATTCATGTTCAATTAAAGAAATGAAATATTGAAAAGGACCTGTATTATTCTATTTGCTCAATCAATCCCCCTCTCCCTATCCTTCCCTCTTTTTCTCCCTCAATCCCTCCCTCTCTCGCTGTGTAACCCAGGCTTTTCTCAAATTCTGGATCCTCTGAAATATTTGTTGGTCTTTTGTATATCTCTCTCTCTCTCTCTCTCTCTCTCTCTCTCTCTCTCTCTCTCTCTCTCTCTCTCTGCCTCTTTTAATGGAAACCATCTGAGGAGCACTTATATAAACTTAAAACTGTGAAGTTTCTTATTTGTTGGTTTCTGTTTTCTATTTTTTAATTTTTATTGTGTATATGTTGGGGGGTGGGGAATGTGCACCTGAGTGCAGGTACTCGTGGAGGCCAGAAGAGGGAGTTAGATCACCTGGAGCTGGAGTTGTAGATGGTTGTGAACCACTCAAATGGGTGCTGGGAACTGAACTCGAGTCTTCTACAAGAGTAGCAGCTATTGAGTCATCAATAGTTTCTAGCTCCTGTATTTAAATATTAATGTAATCTGTTTTGTTATGAAATAGTTTTATCCAGTTTATGCTGTTCTATATCCAAATAATAATTTTCAGGATGTTAAAAATACTGTATATGGAAACAAAGAATAAATGCGTCAAAATATATTTAACTCACTAATGAGAAAGTGAGTAGCCAGGATGTTATAAAACTGGCTCAAAGAGCATCTGATAAGTACTTCTGGTCAGAAGAGGCTAGATGGCTAGGTTAAGTCTATCCATTAGGCAGAACTTTTCATTATAATCAGTACAACCATGGCTTTGGTGGTTATTAGGCAGAAATCATTTGAATGTCAGTAAGCAAAAACCTTGATGTTTTCAGATAATTTAAGTGCTTGGGTTCTAAGAAAAGCAAATGATCAAGTAAACCCATAGTCCACTTAAGTAAACCTGGATAAACTTAGTAGATAAAGCTCCACCGTGCCACTGAAAGGAAGTATAGTCATTTTCTTCCTTATTTCCAGGAGTGGGGTAACTGTGTAACTCACACATGCAAGAACTTCTAGCGCCTTAGTGACAAACATAAGATGACTTCAGAATGACATTACCACCATAACCACAAATGATGGCTCCCTATCTTGAGTGTCTTGGGTGTTGGCAAATATAGTTACTCATAAAATCATAGTCAACGAAGACATAGAACACTTGGCATTGCTTGACTAAGATCCCTTGTTTGTCCCCAGATACCATGACCCTGTGAGCGTCCCTCTTCCTGCTCAAGGCAGCTGCTGATCATATGTAATCTTACTGTAGAAACTTATCTACCTCTGCTGTCTCTCATCATAATGTATGGTTATATCTGTGCTATTTTGTGTATTCATAACTCATTCTGTTCTGTTGCTGACTTTTGTATTATGTCACTATCCCACCATTTGTTTATCCATTCACATGTTGACACTGTGAAGGTGTTGAGATTTTTAGTATCTGATATGTCCCTGTATTCATTTAGTTTTTTTTTTTATTCTCTCAGCAACATTACAGTTTTCAGTATGGAACTCCTTTTAAATTTATTCCTAAGGAATTCATGGGTTTTGATGCTGTTATGTGTATGGAACTTTTTTTCCCAATATTTCACTATTGGTTGGAGGTACCAACAGTTTGCCAGTGTTGGTACTGTATCTTAGAAATCTTGCTAATTTTGCTTTACTGGTAGTTTTAATAGAGATTTCCTATGTAAAGAGTTGTAGAAATTAAAATGTCTATGAATAAAAGTAATAGCCCACCTTGCCTGCTATGAGAGTAGGCATCTTTACCTTGTTTCCATTCCACTTCTGGTTTAATGAGAAAGCTAGTGTTTTGTGTTTCACTGTTAAGTGTGGAAATAATATGGGTTACTTTATAATCCTACTATGAAATGAAGTTTTATCTGTTCTTATTGGACTACGAGGTACTACTATTGCTGCCATCGTTAATGAGTTTTGAATTTTGTCATATTGGAAACTACATCTGTCATACAATTTTTCTCCATTCTGCAAATACAGTGTTTCATACATAAGGTTGTATTCCTATGACTCCTTCCTGTGTTCAGGGTTGGATTTGCTGGTATGTTGTTGGTGAGTTCTGTGTCTTTTTGTATGGAGATAATGTCTTGAAGTATCTTCTGTAAGGTTTCTCTAAGTGATTTTGGTGACCTCATAAAATGCATTGGGAACTGTACTGTTTTTTCTCTTTTGAAAGAACATTTTTGTAAGTCTGCTGGTATTTCTTCCTTGCAATTGAAAAGCCTCAGTGAACCTATTTAAGGTGGGCTTGTTTGTGGTTTTTTGGTTTGTTTTTCTTTTTTTGAAACTGTGAGACTTTTTTGTTTTTTGGTCTTTTTGAGACAGGGGCTCCCTGTAGCCCCAGTCCTGGAACTCACTATGTAGACCAGGCTGGCCTTGAAGTCACAGAGGTCCGCCTGTCTCTGCCTCCTGAGTGCTGGGATTAAAGGCGTGCGCCACTACACCCAATGAGACTTTTTTTTTTTAAAGTCTGACTGTAGCCCAGGCTGTCCTGGTACTTGCTATATAGCCCATGCTGGCCTTGATTCTTGATAATCATCCTGCACCAGCCTCTTGAGTACTAGGATTATAGGTGTGAGCCATGACAGCCAGTTTGTGGGGAGATTTCTAATGACGACTTCATTAAATAATATACTGTACTCTTGAGGTTATTAATATTTCTATATTGTCTTGCTAGGTTTTCATTTCCAGTCCACGTGTTTGTTTCATTTATTTGTTTCATTCAGAGCAATAGTAATTTCCCAGCTCCCATTCTTACTTCTTGAAATTACATTTGTAATGTTAGGATTTTGTCTTTTGCTTGGTCAGTCTAACTTACAGTGTCCTGATTCTGTCTTCTTTCCCAAGAAGCAGGGTTTTTTTTTTTTTTGCTTTTCTCTATTGTTTTTCTATTCCTGTTTCATTTAATTCCACTCTGTTACTTCCTGTTGCTTGCTTCCTTGGGTTGTCCCTTTCCTTTCCTTCCCTTCCTCTCCCCTCCCTCCCTCTCTTCCTTTTTTGTTTTTGCTTTGATTTTTCTAATTCCTTAATCTGTAAAGTTGTTATTGAGTTGTCTTCTAATATGTGCTTTAATGCTAAAACTTCCCTTTGAATATTACTTTAATTCCATTCAATAAAGTTTGCTAAGCTGTAAGTTTTTCATTTATTTTAAAATTGATTTGATTATTTTACTTGAAGATTTATTCACATGTTATTTGGGAGTGTGCTATTTAATCTGTAAATGTTTGAAGGTTTTCTGTGTATGCTGAGTAGTGCTTTGTGATTAATCTCATCATCTGAGAACACGCTTTGCGTAGTTTCCATTCTTCATAATAATGGGGGTATCATGTCCCTGAATATGGCATCTATGTTATGTTAGTGAATATTTCACTAATACACTGCTGTCGTTGGGTGGGTATTTTCTCTTTAGGTTGAATATTTAGCATTGTTATATAGTGTGTATCATTTTCAGGAAAGTAAATATATTTAAAACAAAAAGTAAATGACTATCAACGAGTATTGATGCAGCACAGTACTGACGTTCACATTAAAACCCATGTCTACAAGTTAGTTGCTGCTGACAGAGAATGCAGTACATTCTCTGTTATGGTTTGGGGGTTATTTCTTTCAGTAGCAGTTACTGTCAGCTTTAAGAGGGATCCTTGCCAGCCTTCTACCCCTTACAGCCTCTCCTGCTTTTCTTTGTGTTTCTGATATACTTTGTCAAAGATGGTGCCTATTGTCAAGGCAATGTGAAGATATTTCCTTCATGGGAATTACTAAGGCTGGCTTTTTCTGTTCATATGACCAAATGATATATTAACTTTTGTAGTGCTTTAATTTGGCTAAAATGATTTGTAGCTATCTATCTTTAAAGATAATACAAGTGAAAATTTTAGCTGAAGAATGAGTGGGGTAGCTGTAGTAATGATAGCAGATGTTTTGCTTTTGTGAAACATCAATATAGTCTTACCCATTGAAACGAAGACTGAGAAAATTAGAAACCCAGTGTCCTTGTAGTTGTGGTCTTGCTCTTGCCTCTCCTCCTCCATCTTCCTCTTTACCACTAATTGCTATAATGTGACCTTGTAATTATTTTTTCCCATTATTCCCATTTTTACTCTGTCTCCTCTGGACCATTCTCAGCTTCAGCTTTGTCAACACTTTGAGTGCTTAGGGAGAGAAATTCAGAAGTGCTATAATTCCGTTCATGGAAGTATCCATTGAGTTGAATAGTTTTTGTTCTTGGTTTGCTTTTCAGTGGTGGCGTCCAGTTTACTCCCAGTCTGGCCTTGGGCATGGATTCCTCTAGGAAGATGCTGACATTTTAGCTACCTTCCCAGTTACTGCTTCCATTTGCCTGATTCTTTAGGGTCAAGATAGTTAATGACTTTGACTTTTCTCTGTGTTCCAGCCTGAAAGAATAGACCCAAGTGCATCCCGACAAGGCTATGATGTCCGCTCTGATGTCTGGAGTTTGGGGATCACGCTGGTATGTTTATGTTGACTCAACTTTGTCAGGGTAATGGAATGATAAGAAATTAAGAACTAAAATTACTGAGAATGTAAAAGTTAGTGGTTTGTAACAAGTGAGCACAAACTCTTCATACTTGGGGACTTTATTGAAGTTTTGGCTTCATTTTAAATGTATCTACCTTAGTTTGGATTGCTTTAGCAAAGTGTCATTAACTTGTTAGGTTATTAAGACTAGAAATTTATTTCTTGCAGTTTTGGAGACTGGGATGTCCAAGATCAAGGCTTTGCCATATTTTGTACTGAGTGAGCTGCTGTCTTCATTGTTTCTAAATGATAGAAGGGGTGAGGGGCACAGCTATCCAGGGCCTATCTTGTAAGGGCACTCAACCTAAGAATTTTAAGGGGACACAGTCTAAGCTATATTTTTATGTCCTTTTTTCCAAATTTTATTTTCTTGTGTTTACTGTGGTACTAGAGCTTGCTGAGATGCTTTGTTTCTTTCTGACTTTGAATAGCTTCTATAGCTTGTATATTATATGTGAAGTTTCTGCCCCATGTGGGCCTTTCCTGTAAGGTAGACTTCTTAGTCCTCTCTTCCATATTCTTCCCATTTTCAATTTGAGCTGAGACCCCTTAGTTCAGATTTAGAGCAGTGAGGTTTTTGTAGCTTACTCATCTCCATTTGTTTATTGGCATTATATGATTCAAAGATCTTCCTATGATGACAGTCACATACTTTGAATTGTTTTGTTGAGTAATGTTGTCAGGCTAATGGATTCTTTGTGTAGAAAGTTTAAGACTTAACAGCTCCCCCCTGCAAAGGATTCCATCTACCTTTCCTTTGTGACCAAATACAAGAGATATCACCTGGAGTCATTTTTTTTCATTATGAAGCCAGGTAGTCACAAAGACAATTGTAGGAAGATCTGTAGTTCCCAGTATGCATATTAAGCATACTGAAAATTCAGAAATGCCTGCCCGTGACCTAGTTGTAATTATATTTTAAAACAAAAGCAAAACAAAACAAAACCAAAAAAGAAATAGGTACAGTGGCACATACTTGTGATGTTAGTGTTGGGGAGGCAGAGACAGGTGGATCCTGGGGCTTGCTCACTAGCCAGCCCAGCCTATGTGGTAAGTTCCAGGTCAATGAGAGACCCTGTCTCAAAAATCAAGGTTGATGGCACCTGGGGAATGACATCTGAGGTTGTCCTCTAGCCTTCACATATATGCGTAAACATTCCCATATGTATGCGCATGCACGCGCACACCCACACCATGTATATCCTTCCATACAAATTTTGTTTTGTTTTACAAATCTTGTTTTATTTTGTTTTACAAATTTTGTTTTGTAAAGGTTGCTTTTTTGTTTTGTTTTATATGGTGGGGGTGTAGAGTGAAGATTATACCCAAATCTTTATGAGCTATGTCACTGAATTGTATCCCCAAACTTGTGGAAAGTTTTAACACAGAAAAATTTTAAGCAAGTCCCTTTAAGTACCTTTAGCAAAGCCTTGTTTAAAAGCAAAGTATTCCAGTATTTAAAATTGTTTCATAATTTATTTATAGGGATAATCTTAGTCTTTCACTTTAATAATGTATAGCCTTTTTTCTTCTCTTATTAAAATCTCTTCTCCAGAATGAATCTAATAAAATTATTCCTAATGGATAAGGATTACTCTTTCAAAGTATTTGAAATTTTAACAATTAGCCAAAAGAGTGAATCCCACTCCTCCCCATGTGTGTATATGTAAACCTTCTTACTTTCTGGTATATGTATGTGTAAGCTGAGCTGACAGCAAGTCTCCCGAGGAGGAAACTGAATCAGTTTTGTAAGAATGCTCACTTTCTCTTAAGTGCTATCATCTCTGTGTGAGTTTGGGACTTCATCCTTATGAATCAGTCACCTGTCAGAGACATAAAATGGGATTTGATGAAATAGAGATCTTTTTTAAAGGTTAAAACCACATTCAATTTTATATATTATAGGGTTTATTCTGAGTACAATATTGTATATATAACTATATTAATTCAACTGTGAACCTAAAAATCTATAGCCAATTTTGAAAGAGATGCATCTTTGCCCTGGAAATTGTTATTGAATATGTCAGTGCCATTGTGATGAAAAGCTTCTTCTAATCATGTGGTTATTAAATAAATAATTTTTAAAAATAGGATTTGATAAGAATTTTGGAACAGAGTAGGGGAAAAGGTAGGACACTGGTTACCAGCCAATATATTAGACTCCTGGACAGGTTGGGTCATAAGACTGTTCAGATATATATTGTATGGTGTAAAGATACTGTTGTGAGCCCTTCATTGGATCTTTGACCTGACTTAGTAATTATAAAATCTGGCTGTGGTTGAAATAACTATTCAGATGCTCTTATTGTTTCCTATGAATTCAAACTGGACTATTTGATAAATGTTCTTTTTACTTACAAAGGAATCTGACCACTGTTGTGGACCGAGACTGAGTCATATCAGGTGACTACAGATTGTGCAAAGTCTTTTCTATAGAAGTTCTCAACTAAGTCTTCCAGAGTATCTCATACAAGAGTTCAGAAGTAGAGACTTTCCTAGGTCCTGCATTATGGGGACCTAGTGAACTTAAACCCTAAGTTTGGTATTTACCGGTAGTTTGAGTCCTTGAAATTTTTTGAAGCACAGTTCCCACATTATGTCCTCCACTTAGCCTTCATGATTCTGAAGACACCCCCCATCCCCAACTTGGTCAGAGTTGTGTTAGGGCTTTCGATGGATGTCATCACCCTTCCAGTGGGGAGTAGTAAATAATGCTGGGTACCTTTTGCTTTTTCTTCTTTGTTCTCTTTAGTACGAGTTGGCCACAGGCCGATTTCCTTATCCAAAGTGGAATAGTGTATTTGATCAGCTAACACAAGTGGTGAAAGGAGATCCTCCACAGCTGAGTAATTCGGAAGAAAGGGAATTCTCCCCCAGTTTCATCAACTTTGTCAACTTGTGGTAAGTACTTGATTTACCAATACTTAAACACCATGGCCAGAACAGTCAGGCGACTTAATCCTGGCTACACTAATGTTTTACATAGGGAAGAAATCCTTTGTCACATGATTCCTAACTAGGACTATGGGTAGTTGCAGCTGTGTGGAAAGCGCCAGCCAGCCTGGAGAGGCATTACCCTCATTCTGCTACTCAGGTATTATTGAAAAACAGCCATGGCTGTTGGAGAAGCAGCTGCCTCCACACCTCCGGTCCTGCTATGAGACATACCAGGGTAAATGTCTAGGTGAGACTGATGATCTTATTCTGGGGTAGTTCTCAGGATGAGATTGTACCAGGATCACCCGATGCTTTTACTGCTTCAGTAACTCTTCAAACCAGACTGTCAGGCATGGATCTCTGTCTTGATAAAACCAAGAATGTGGCTATGTGTGGGTATTATGTTGTAGGGCCAGGCCCAAAGCTTAATTGGCAGAAATGTATGTATTGGCTGTCTAAAATGTTATACCAAGCTCCATACTTGTTGATGCCTACTTTATCATTGCTTCTGTATGTGTATGGCACCTAAGAATATATAAGGCTGGGGGGATGGCTCAGTGGATAAAGCACTTGCTATACAAACATGAAGACCAGAGAGCAGGTCCTCAGGACCTTTGTAGAAACCAGGTGGCCTGTAATCCTAGTACTTGGGAGGCAGAGACAAGGAAGCTGGCTACCTATGCTAGCCAGAATGAGTGAGCTCCAGGTTCAGTAAGAGACCCTGCCTAAGTAGAGAACAGTAGAAGACATCTGATGCAATAGCAGGAGACCACTGGCCACTTGGTTTCTATATGGGTTCTCTGTATTATGTTTTATGAAATGCCAGTTTAAAAGAATCGTATGTATGTCTTAGACTGACAGCATGGCATCTAAAAAATGACTTAGGAATCTTCTAGTAGTGGGATATTTGGGGGGGGGGAGTTGGTTGGTTCTGTTGTCTTTTTATTATTTTGTTAAAATTTTATTTTTTAAATATAATTTATT